AAATGTCACAGTTCTCAGGATGTATTGGTGTAGTGATCTAGAGGCAAGAGGACCAATATTGAAACTCAAGAATCAAGTCCAGAATAACTGCTGTGAGATCCTGCTTGATTTACTGATGACAAACACAAGTCTATGTTGTATTCTCACTTCTGTTGGCCACCGTGGAGGGCGTTGAGTTGTTCTGGATTGTGTGAATGTCTGTCTGATTTTCTGTTAATATGCCATTCATTTTGGTCTTGCCCACAACATGCATAGCAGTCGACATTCTCAGTGATCACTCCTGGCTTGTCATGGACAAAGCTAGGAGAATAAGCAAAAGCAAAACTTGCCTGAGATAACTATAACTCCACCTAACTCAGCTGACAAGACCTCTACATCATCACTATTGGTAAAAGAGGTTGCATTCATGATGCTGCTTGGCTTGACTAAAATGGTGTTTCTGTATCATTTACTTGGTCCCTCCATGGCTAACTTCATTTCTAATATGCAGGGTTGACTGTTGCTAGGTCTCTGTAGTGTTTCTTGTCACCAGAGAGTGTGGTAGTCATGTTCAGTGCACATCTGGATTGCACTTTGCTTCCATGTTCACAGCCATAATTGTCAAAGCCAGCCCTAAAAAAGGCCCATGTCCATACCCCTGATGACTGTTTTGGCCTTCAGTCACTACTGATCACTCCAAGTAGGTCATTAAATAATTTCAAAATTGGCTGTTAATGTTGGTTTCAGTGCTGATGCTGTTAGCACAGGGGTGGGCAAAATATGGCCTGCAGGCTGGATGCGGCCCACCGGGCAATTCCATCTGGCTTGCAGGGCCCCTCCATCAGCCCCCTGTAAGCCCTGGCGCTCTGCAAGCTGGCACCTCCATACAGGAGGTGTGGCTCTGGTTGCTAAGCCTGGCCTGACCTGCCCCAGCTCCGAGCCAGGGGGTGCCTGGCCACCCTTTGGCTGTTCCCAGCCTCCCTGCATGCGAGAATGGGAATGCAGGTACAGGCCCCAGCAGTCCAGGCCCAGGGACCCCCCACTGGAGGAAAGGGAGTGCAGGGACTTATGCTGTGCTGGCCCTGCATGCTGCTGGAGCACAGGAGTTGTGCGCTGTGGGGCTGGGTGCTAATAATGTTTTTTAAAATAGTGCATCACAAAGTAAGATCAAGAACTAATAAAGCAATTGAAATTGCATATGACAAATAGGATTCACATGGAGTACAGAACTTGTCACCTTTTTATTTGGAAATCTGGAACCGGTTCAAGTTAGCTAGTGACTAAGTCATAAAATCGTTCATTTTGTATGCTTCCACAGTAACAGCATTAAGTGACTTGCTATAGTCACAAAATAATTGGCAGAACAAGAAGCGTGGATGAGCTATTTTAAAATAAATCCTGGAGAACTGGCTGTTGGATATTTTTATGGTTGGCAGGCAAGATGGAGTGGATGAATATACCTCACATGTACATGTACCTCACAGAACTCTGAGGTTCTTTAAAACTCATTCCATATTGCCTATTTCTGAAACCCATCTTGCACTTCTTGCACTAGTCCTCACTTTTTCCAGTTTAACTAGTGATTTCCCTTGTGGTATTGCAACAAATGCTCTATTGAAACCCAGACAGATTGGGTTTACTGCAGTTCCATTGTCTAGAAAGTCAGTTATCTTAACAAAGATAGCTATCAAGTTAAACTGGCATGGTCCATCTTTGGCAAACCTGTTGCAAATTTTTGTAAAACATGCTAAGAGGCAATAAACACAGCCAGAGACAGTGTATGTTTTGGAACTGTATTTTGATTCAATTGTAAGTTTCACTTTGTATAACTTCTTAGAGACTGTGAATCTCTCTTTGAATATCTGCTTCTCTAATGTGCAGAATTTAGAGTGCAAACTCATCAATTAGGCGTGCTTTAGTATTGGGTAAATGCAACAACTTAGCATTAGTGGAACTCCTTTGTGCTCAACTGTATTTTTAAATCAAACACTAGGTGTATTATCTGAAAATGTTGTAGTCAAAAGTTAGTTTTTGAGAATTGTCTTCCTGTGTCGCAATGACAGATTCCTAATACTCATGCATTTTAGACAGATAGAACAGGGTAAGGCTAGATTATGTCGGCTGGAAATTGATAGTGCTGCTGCACAATTCTGTAGTACAAAGGCCACAGTCACTCTGGCAAGTTTGTTAATCAGTCTAACATGGCCTGTGGGAAACACATGAATGTAGGGATGAGAGATGAAGAAACAAAATACCCCACCTGCCGATCCAATTGTGGCCATAGGGCTTATCTGAGTAACTCTTGGAAACATGTTTAAAGTTAAAAAATCTATAGCAAGTATTTCCCTTAATAAAGGTCTTAACTATTATCTTCTAACATCTATAAAGACAGAACAAATGACTATCCCTAATTTAAATCAAAATCAAACCTTAAACTGCAGAGCTCTTAGAACGCAGGCTACAGCTATCTTCACAGGACGTGGTTAAGGCCTTAAACATGCAGCAATTCCCTGGGAGTACATATAACAAATATGCAAAAGGCCTTTACACTGAGTGATACCACAGGGCTTCATAGTTTCATTTTCACTGTGTAATGATCAACTTCTCGATAGGCTACTAACTGGCAATCAGTTGCAAGCAGAAGGCAGGGCAGATGTGCCTGTAGGTTGCTAGACTACCCCCTGTGCTAACCCTGGCCTTGTGTACTGTATGTGATGCACAGGCTGGACTTGGTGCCTGGGGTTGGTCCAGGGTGCTTCATGCATCCCAAGTCCCCTGTGTACAGTGAGCCCTGGGGCCAGCATGAGCTGCATGTGGTGTGGGCAGGTAGACCAGTGGTATATACTACATGAGGGACTGGCATGGGGTGTGTACTTCCCTCAGTGGATGGGCTGGACCTGGCACTGCAGGCGCTACGAAGGGGAGTCAGTTCTGGTCTGGCCAGCAGTCTAGCTCAGCCACGTGATGAGTTTCGCACCCCTGTTGTAGACCAGGGGTGCTGAGCTGCAGGCCTGCCAGACAGATCTGGCCCAGGCACCTTGTTCCCTGGCTAAGTGGGTTCCTCATGTGCCATGAGGAGCCCTGTGGGTCCTGCCCTGGGTGCTAGATCTGGTGCACAGTGTGGGGATGCGTGGAGGTAGCACCCAGCCCCAGGGCCCTGATTCCAGCATGCAGGGCTGGGCAGGGGCAGGGGCACATTCAGGGAGGCTGCACTGGTGCACTTGCACACAATTAATTCCTGCTCTACCCAAAGTTTAAAACTAACTGCCCGGCAGTGGCAGCAGCATTTCTATTCAGGCACCAGTGAGGGAGTCAACTAACTTGGCGGCTCATTAAAATCTACCTAATTACTTACAAACTCTTCATTCCACAGTTTTAACCACCCTCTTTCCTTTTTAATGGTCTTGATGTTTCACTTGGCAAGCCAACCTTTCTTCTGCTGTCTGTGAGCTGCTCCTTGTAATGTAGCTCCCACTTCACAGGAGCTGCAGAACTATTTTTAACTCCTTACAATCCAGTGATTATTTTTGCATCCATCTTCAACTGAATCAAAGAGCCCCAGGCCCCTGGCATATCAGGAAAGCGTCTCATTTCTTTTCACCTGAAGAAAAACATGTGCTGTGTCATATAGGCTGTTGCACCTCATTGTGTGTACCCCCCTTTTCACAAGGGAGGGATTGCTAACCTACAGTGCTGCTCCAACTTTTAGCCCAGCTGGCCAAGTGAGTGGCGTAGGGGCCAGTCCACAGGATCAAGACAAGGCACTGGGACCAAGATTGTGTTGCCCAGGTCTCAGCATGTAGGGGGTCTTGGGCCTGTAGACTGGCCCCTATACCACTCATTTGGCCCGTGGGGCTAACAGCTGGAGCAGCACTGTCAGTCGGCATGCCCTCCACTCCAGGAAGACCTTGATTTGAGAATGATCTTTACCGGGGCTCATTGATGGGTTATAGACCAAGCAGCGGTGTTATAACCCAACCAAAGGAGACTGATATCTATATCCAGGGCCATCCCTGAGGGGAAGGGGGAATTGGGGCAATTGCCCCAGGCCCCGCAGAGCTGGCCTAGCTTTGGGTCTGGGTGCTCCGCCCTCACCACCCCTCCCCGAGGCACACACAAGCTGATTTGCCCCAGGCTCTGCACCCTTACGGTTGTCTCTGTCTATACCTGTATCTTCCTATGGAGAATCATAGAAAATGAGGGCTGGATGGGACCTCAGGAGGTCATCTAGTCCAATCCCTGGCTCAAAGCAGGACCATCCCCAACTAGATCATCCCAGCCAAGATATCTATCTATCTATCGATCTCTCTCTCAATATCTATCTATCTTGACCTATTGTTCTCTCTCTCAATCTTGTTCTACAGGTCTCGATCTGTTGTCTCTCTATCTATCTTAATTGCTCTGTTTTTCTGTTTCGATATCTCTCTCTCCATCCATAGGCGACTGGTAGGGGGTGCACATGCCAGTGTCC